TAAAAGAGTGAAACTTCTAGACTTAGTCTATGATACGGTACCTCTATTTGGATATTGCAAATCATGCTGTTTTACTTCTAATGAACCATTTGTAGGGCTAGACAAAGATTTTAAACATCTATTATAATGTTGCAGTATGTTTGCTAAATACCTTAATAGAAATCAACAAAAAATTAAAATTGATTCCAATTATCATTCGTATCATTATTAGAGAATAAAATTAGTCCTTTTAACTTTTGGATTGTATAACATGGAAATTTTAGTTTAAAATACAAAACAGAATATTAATTATATTAACATACCATCAAAGTTTGACACTTAAAAAAAACCTCATAAAATAGAATTATTTTTTATCAATATAATAACAAAATATTATTATTTTGAGTATAACTTCAAATTTTTCATCATATTAATTATATTTCGATTTCTTTTTTTAATACTAAGAGTTTTACTTTTGTTATAGATACATTTGAATCAAATATTTCCTTTAGTACATATTTGTGTTGTTTTAATAATAATTTCGGGCAACAATTTAAACACTATTTCCATAATTTATGGAGATTTCAATTTTGTTAAATTGATTTATTACAACATTTCTTCAGTTTTTTTATATTTACACTCAGGCTTCTTAAAAGCATCATGGCTTTTTAAAGCAATAAACTCATCATACTTCAAAATAGATTTAATCTGGTCTATTAATTGTTAATTAATAGTCTCCATTCAATTAAATCCTGTTATTTCTTTTTCAGAAATTATTATTCCAAACAAATTTCTAACCTTTTGATATCCATAACTCCTTAATTTGAAATTTATGTTTACCATTCATGCATTTCACAAATCAATGTTTAAAGACTTTAAATCACCATTTTCAATATATCTAATCTATATTTCCCATTCTTACCCTTAATCTTTAATTATGACACTACTAAGATTTGCTTTATTCAATTTTTATTAGCAGCATTTAACGTTCAGATTCGTTGAGCTCGTTTCTTCTTATTGAACTTACTCCCGAATTATTAATAATGATATGGGAGCAATAATATAAAATTCATAGACTTTATATCTTTAATTAACAATATTAATTTCGAAAAAACAAAATCAATTTTAGTAATCAAATATGGATTTCTCAAAATAGAGGGGAATTCAAGTAACAATCATCCATTTTCTAATTGATTGATTATCATATTCATAAATATTATCCAATTTATTAAAGCAATGAGATGTTTATTATGTCATATTTTCAGAAATCAATTAAGTTGAAATTTCTAGAAAAATTCTTTATTATGGAAACTTAAAATCCTATTGCATTAGTTTTAACTATTTGTTAAAAGAGCTTTCAACAAATATTTAAGTTAGCCTAATCAAAAGAAATTCAAAAATAATATTTAAATTATGATGATTTAAAAAAGTCAATAAAAATCACAAAAATTAACTAAACTTTTTTTTCAATTTTTTACAGAATCTGGAATGATTTATTATTTTTGATTTTACGATCGGATAAATACAATGCTTTATTAGGCAAAAGTAATTAAAAATGAGAACATTAATGTGTTGGAATGTATTTGGGAATAAAAGTTCTGTAGCTTTTGGATAGTATTTGGAATTGTAAATAGGTATATTTTGTTAAATTCTTAAATAAATAATTCTATATTCAAAAAAATAAATCAAAAATGATAATATTTTGGTAAATGAAGAATTGCCATATTTATGAATCCAAAATGATAACTCAATAAATTTTGAAATGTGTTAATTTTAGTTTTTCCCTTCATCTTTCCAAACCTATTGAATTATGTTCAACAATATTTAAGAAAATGTTAATAAATGATGAATCTAGAAATAAAAATACCTTAGTTAATTGAATACATAAATTAGACTTCCAAACTATTCATCGAAAATAAAAATGTAACTTTTCGAGTATTAACATAATGTTATTTTGTAATTTCAAAAATTGGCATTTTTTTTAAGTGAAGAAATAGGGAAATATAAAAATATTCAAACTAACCTTTCAAATTAATTAATTAACCTTTGCCAAAACATTTATGTGTATGAAGATATCTTTTTTTATATTACAAATTCTGTTCCTTTTTCATTATTTTTATTCTGTTTCTTAAAATTCAAAATCATACTCTTTTCTGATTTCCAATAAATATTCAGCAAATTTTTATCAGTAATTACAATTTTCTTGACTGGTTTATCTAAAGATATGTTAAAAAATAGAGGTTTAAACTTAAAAGCCATCATAAATACTTTCCGAAGTCTCACTAATCTATTTAGAAAAAAATGCTACTAATATACACAGCAAATTATATAAAATATAAACATTTAATCGAACTCTGTTACATTGACAAAGAAAGCAAAACCACAACATTATTCGAAAAAGTAAAAATAAAGTACAACCCATTTTCTGCCTTAAATTCCATAAAAAGGACTCAATTTACTTAAAATGAAGAAATATTCTTAACTGCATTTATTCTTTGATGAATCTCTTTTTAAATTTTTCAGCTTATTTTCTTAAATAGATCAGTCTTAGGTTTCATAAATTACAAAATATAATCACTACCCAGCATTTATGTTTCTTGTTTTTCCTGTGAGCCCTACCTTTGATTTAAGTTCAAAATGTTACATCTATATGAGACTCTCTTATTTATTGGTAAATTATAATTGAAAAAATTGATATTATGCTAATTGATTAAAGATATTGAGTACAACATAATTTGAGGAATAAAATTTACTTTTTCTATTTTTGGATAATTTCTTTTATTTTTATATGCTTACATTGAATTGAGAAATATAGATATTATATTGAGTTGTTGATTTTTTTTTTAAAACAAAACAACTTCAGAGCATTATTTCTAAAGAGTTTCTTTTCTAAATGATAGAATTTACCTTCAACATTACTAGGATATGAAAAATGAAACATTTTATCAATAACATATCTTGTATTTTGATTAATTCCTGCTTCTGGCTGCCTCTGTTTTCTGTTTTGCTTGAGTAAAAAGTAAATTAAAATCTAAGGGAACATAGAAAAACATACCAAATTCATTATAGTAAATTTCTAATCCATCATACATTTTATTATGAAAATTACCCTCATAAGAATAAATTAAGGTTATTATTCCTAATTATCGAAATTATGAAAGATGGAAAATACAATTTTAGATTAATATTAAGTTTTTAATAGGAGTAATTTGCAGATACAAGAAAAGATAAAACTAATAAATTCAAAAAATAATATAATTCCTATTATTAATGTATCTACATATTAATATATTAGTTATGGATCATTCTGTCTAGATGCTTTATTTTCAAAATTTTCAATTTTTTTGAGAATTTTAAATTATAAGAGTGTCTTCCAGTCATCGGATACATTATTATCTTTTTATTTAATGCGTCTCTTTTTTAAACTCTACTTTCGTGCTTGACTGTAATTATGTTAGTATCCTGAATTGTTATTCCTATTTCTATGATTTCATAAAAGAAATTTGCATTCTATCAGCTTTAAACATCATAAAACGTTTCTAATTGATAAGGAGATTAAGAAAGTTAAGTATTTAAATAAATATGATAAATATAGACGAATTGTGTTATATTGAATTTTGAATACTTTGTTATACAACTATGTGAAGCTTATCTTTGAACATATATAGTTATTTTTCACAACAGAAGGATTTAGATTTTCAATTTAAAATTATTTCTTCGATTATGGATTATGGGACTGATATTTCATTTTGATATAGAATTTGATTATGCCAGTTTTTTTCATAAATTGTTACTATTTTCCAATAGCTTTTGAATTATAACTTCTTTCAGTTAATCTTCATCAAAAGAATCGATCAAAGAAAAATCTTTCTATTTCTTCATAATATAAAAAATTTTTAATTATAAATGATGAGATCAAAATTTGATTTCAAAAGATATTTATTTAATTTTAGAACCTTAAAATATAAATTGATAATAAATTACAGATAGGTTCTTGATTAACTGATACTTGTGCTTGTTATTGTAAGCATATGTTGAAAATATTTATTGGACAATGAATTTGTCTGTAAGGACAACAAAATAAGTTGTAGTTTGGTTGTTTAAAAGGAAAAATTCCTCTAAATTTTTCGATTAAGCATTTCTGGCAAAGTTTCAAATTTTAAGCAATTTTTTTATTGTTCAAACAAAGCAAAAAAATTAAGTAATGTTAAATAAATGGTTTTAATATTTTAAATTATGAAACATTTAAAGTGCACTGAAATTAATGTTAAAGATGTATTAATTGAACTATAAATTATTTTATTTTAGCAGATTACTCTATTATAAGTCTTGAAAAATAAAAAATTAAATAAATTATTAGTTAAAGTATTCTACAATCAGCAAATCTATTCAATGGTTAATGAGTTTATTTTTGAAATTCGGTCATAAAGATTTGATGATTCAGATTAATCAATAATGATTAAATAAATGTTATCTTTATTTATTTAATGAATAAAAATGTTATTTTTATATTTAAATCTCCCGTAACATTAGCTGGTGACCCAATAAATGGATAATGCTGTATTAGAATAACTCAGGAGCTACCTAAATGTCTGATAAGTCTTTCATTTTATGCTAAGCAATATTCAAAGCTAATTTAGAAAAGAAAGGTATGCTAAATAAATGAAAAATCGAGCTTCCTAATGTTACTCCGAATTCGATACTAGAAAAAGAACTAGAGAAAATAGAAAGAATTCAAGTCTCAATAGATTCACCATAAAAAACCCAAAAATAAAAAAAATATGAACTCAATGGAAATGTGATTTATAGAATCATAAGGTAATATGGAGTACAGAAAGTCTTGCTTAGCTCTTAAGAATTATTTAAAGGATAAGTAAATCCAGGAGATTATAAATTTTTCTTTTCTCTACCAACCAAAGAGAACATGTCATCAAGTTTCTTCTACACAAGTCAAGATGGTAATAATTATTGGATATGAAAATAAAGGATTAAAATCTGGAAAATGCAGCTATAAGATAACGCTTCAGATTGAAAATCTAGATGAGTGTCTTAATATTCTGAAAGAAAGTGCAGAAGTATATATAAATGCAAGAGTGTAATCTAGTGTAGAAATTCAAAGACAAAGTGAGGCCAATATTATATCATATTTTTGCTTAAATGGAGGAATAGCCTATTTGTCAATAAAGTTAAATAAATCTAATTTTACACCAGGAGAACAAGCAATAATTGAATATCAAATTGACAATTCCTTCTCGTCAAAAAATATTAATAGGGTTGAAATAAGACTGATTAACAAATTATTGTTCATCGATGATGATTAAGTTGATAGATTAGTTTTAAACCAAGTGGTTTTCTCTAAAATCCTATCAGGGGTAAATTAAGGATAAAGATTAGAAGCACAAATCGCTTAGTTTGAAATCCCAAAAAACTTAAAAGCTTCTGTAAGAAATCAAACGATTTCGAATCAATATTTCTTGCAAATAGAGGCTCTCATAGTATTTTATTTGATTTTTTGAAATTAGGATCAACTTCTAATTAGCTTATCAAATCCAATCCTCTGCCAAATACCAATCAACATCTAAGAATCTCGATTTCAATAGGTTGTTAATCTAGATGGATGGAATTTCGTTCCAATTTTAAACGCTAGTGTTAATGCTTTTTCTAATCTAACTGTTCAACAATCGTTTATTCCAACATGAATATTTTTAATTAATTCATATACTTTTATGGACAAAATTACATCGCCATATTTTGATTTAACACCATTTCAGGAAGACTATTTAACACCCATTCCTATCAATTTTACCTCTGAATTTAATAGAATGTTAATATGGCAATGATTAATGTTTAACTTTCTTGAAGTTAATTAAGATAAAGTAAGTCAAGGCAAAGAAATTACATAAAAAAAATTTGTACTGCAGAAATAACTGATGAAGTATAAAAGGAACTTGCTTACACTATCAGTCATAGATTTTATTCGATTTTCTAAAAAATAAAAAAGACTTGCTTAAAAATTGTGGATTCACTTGCTAAAGATTANAAAAATAAAAAAAATATGAACTCAATGGAAATGTGATTTATAGAATCATAAGGTAATATGGAGTACAGAAAGTCTTGCTTAGCTCTTAAGAATTATTTAAAGGATAAGTAAATCCAGGAGATTATAAATTTTTCTTTTCTCTACCAACCAAAGAGAACATGTCATCAAGTTTCTTCTACACAAGTCAAGATGGTAATAATTATTGGATATGAAAATAAAGGATTAAAATCTGGAAAATGCAGCTATAAGATAACGCTTCAGATTGAAAATCTAGATGAGTGTCTTAATATTCTGAAAGAAAGTGCAGAAGTATATATAAATGCAAGAGTGTAATCTAGTGTAGAAATTCAAAGACAAAGTGAGGCCAATATTATATCATATTTTTGCTTAAATGGAGGAATAGCCTATTTGTCAATAAAGTTAAATAAATCTAATTTTACACCAGGAGAACAAGCAATAATTGAATATCAAATTGACAATTCCTTCTCGTCAAAAAATATTAATAGGGTTGAAATAAGACTGATTAACAAATTATTGTTCATCGATGATGATTAAGTTGATAGATTAGTTTTAAACCAAGTGGTTTTCTCTAAAATCCTATCAGGGGTAAATTAAGGATAAAGATTAGAAGCACAAATCGCTTAGTTTGAAATCCCAAAAAACTTAAAAGCTTCTGTAAGAAATCAAACGATTTCGAATCAATATTTCTTGCAAATAGAGGCTCTCATAGTATTTTATTTGATTTTTTGAAATTAGGATCAACTTCTAATTAGCTTATCAAATCCAATCCTCTGCCAAATACCAATCAACATCTAAGAATCTCGATTTCAATAGGTTGTTAATCTAGATGGATGGAATTTCGTTCCAATTTTAAACGCTAGTGTTAATGCTTTTTCTAATCTAACTGTTCAACAATCGTTTATTCCAACATGAATATTTTTAATTAATTCATATACTTTTATGGACAAAATTACATCGCCATATTTTGATTTAACACCATTTCAGGAAGACTATTTAACACCCATTCCTATCAATTTTACCTCTGAATTTAATAGAATGTTAATATGGCAATGATTAATGTTTAACTTTCTTGAAGTTAATTAAGATAAAGTAAGTCAAGGCAAAGAAATTACATAAAAAAAATTTGTACTGCAGAAATAACTGATGAAGTATAAAAGGAACTTGCTTACACTATCAGTCATAGATTTTATTCGATTTTCTAAAAAATAAAAAAGACTTGCTTAAAAATTGTGGATTCACTTGCTAAAGATTACCATTAATTCTTGAGAAAATAAAGAGAATTTTTTTTGGTATCAACAAGCCACTTAGAAGGATTCTAAGAGTACTTAAACCTTATATTATACTAGATTCCTAGATGTATATATTAAAAGTGATGTCAATCAAAATTCATTAGATTTATTTGCATATTTATATGGAGAACTTAAATTGCCCAGAAGAATACATCTCATAATATTTTAATTATTATATAGAGTATTGCAATAATAAAAGTATTTAAAGCTACATTATGATATTAGGAAAAAAAATAGCAAAACAAACTTGTTAGATATATTTCAATCTATATTTAGAAAATGCTCAAATAGAAAGCATTTTTTTCTTAGGATGTCTTGCCAACTTAATAATCCTCTAAACTCTTTAATTAGTTAAAGCATAAGCGCCAACTTTTTGATAAATACAGCAATTTTTACTATTAACATTTTATATATGTTACTTGATTAGTTCCTTCTAATAATCATTTTATTTGTTTAATGATCAACAAATGAAGAAAAAAAGAATAAATCTTTAATATGAGCCTTTATTCCTTTATTTAAATGACATAGTTAATAGGTTTGTAATATATTAAAGATTTAAAGAAAAAAATATTTTTTATTGTGTTTAAATACATAAAAACTAACATTTACAAAATTTGAAGCAATAACATTGATCAAAAAAATAAATAATTTAACAATTAAGATTTCATAAGGTAATGTAATAGAATGTCTTTTCTATTTCTTAAAACACAATCATAAAGGCTGAATAGCAATTTAATATATAAAAATTATTTGTTATTAAATTTTGATAATTTATAATATATAAGTTGTAAAGTAAATATTAAAATGTTGATTTAATTATCAAAAATACTTCAACCAAAACATATATTTGAAATAATTTTATGTAATTTAATTAATACTCTCTTTTACAAATTAATTCTGTACTCATTTACTATTTAAAATTGAAAGATCCTAAAAAATAAAGTTAGAATCCTTTGTTCAAAGAATAGTGTAAAATATTTATTTTATACTTCAAGATTGTTTGCAGAGAAAATTGAATTTAAGATAGGAATTCCTTCGAATTTCTAAGAAATCAAGATAGATTTAATTAGATGTCTGATTTTGCTTAAGTTCTAAGCAATTCTTGTTAATGAAAATCTATCATCAGTTTCCTCACGCTCTTATATGATTATAATACTTATTATAAGTCAAATAAAATTAATATATTTGATAATATCAAAATTGAAGTACCCACCATTTATAAAATTCAAATTTTGCTGTTTATATTAAAGTCATTTGAATTTGGGTTTGGTTAATAAAAAATATTTATATTTTTAATAAATGAAAGGCAACAGTAATGAAACATAAACAATTACTCATTATTTGAGTCACAGAATTTTCAAAAGAAAAGTAGCTACATAAATAATATCATTCTCAGATGCCTAAGAATTGAGAAGTTTTAAAAAATTACTCGCTTAGAAAATACTTTCTGATAAAAGGAATAATTATTAATGGAATTGAACCTCATTTACACTGTTGTGAACAAAGGATTTGAGTTTTGTTTATGTTTATTATTTATTTTTTTGTTCACCATAACTTACTTGCATTTAAATGAATATTGACATAAATTTGAATTTAGCGCTTTAACAATATATTAAATACGTTTATTTGTTAAATTTCATTCCTAATCTCTTAATAAAAATGAGAAGTAGTTTAGTTACTTTTATATTCGATTCCAATGGCAATTTATTTGATAGGCATTTAGTATCAATGTTGTAATTTATTATTTTTCACTAAATATATGTATATATATTTAATATGTTTTGTATTAATTTTATTAAAATATTCCTTAAACTCATCCTTTCTGCAAATTTATCTCTATTAAAATGAAACAATAAAACGAGACTCAAAATCATACACAAAATTCGAAATAAAATCATCCTATAGAAGGTTAAACTGAGGAACCAAAAACAGTATTGATTACTAAACAACAACTATCTAATTTTTAAAAAGTGCTTTACCAATTTGATGAAGAAGGCTATCAAAATCTTCTGAGATTCAAACATCAACTAGCTAAGAAAATAATTAAAAAATAGAAGACTTGAAGTTAACACTGATTTTCCTATTTTATTCATTTAACAAAATTCATTAATATATATACATTCATGTCTATCTTGATCAAAATAATTGGTATTTTAAAGTAAAAACTAACTTTTATGATATTATTTTTTTTTCAACATAGGCATCCGATCAGTAATACTAGGTTTTTAATAAATTACATATTCCATATAAATTAGAAGTAAACTGAGACTCTTCATAAAGTTGAACGAGAAGCATATCTGAAAACTTTTATATCTTTTAAATATTTGATCATCTCTGGATACTATATTATTTATCCAAATAATCAAATATGAATTGAGAAAATGAGATATAATTGAATCATATAAACAAAAATTCTAAAATAATCATAATATTTTAGTAATTGATTCAAATATAAGAATTGAATAAAAAATTACTAAAACATATAAAATATCAAGAATTATTAAATTTTTATTGTTCACATGAATAATGTAGTGAATTCTTTTAAATTATAAAAAAGTTTATTATAGCAATACATTACTATTAACTTACAATGTTGCTTTAATTTGAAACAAAACTAAACATCATTTGGCTTAAATATAATATATCTCAATTTCTAATTCTCTCTCCTTCTTTCACTCTTAATAATAATTAAATTAAAAAAAGGATTAGTAATAATTTTTTCTATTTTGTATGTATTTCTTTTGTTAATGGTTTATTTCAATTTAACCCATTTAAATTTTTGATTGGTTGTAAAAATTTTAATCTTAACTAATATTATATTGATTAATAATTGAATAAAATTTTAAGATATGGCCAAAAAAAGTAATAATAATGGTATGATTAATTAATTATTTAAGAACTATTCTCATTGATTTTTAATCTAAAATAACATTGTTATTTCTCCTATTATGATTATAAATATATGAATAAGATATTTAAAATTTTCGTCATCCTTAATTTCTTGACTTCGAATTCGGCAGAATCATAATAATTTAGATTAAACTTTTTTTTTTATACTAAATTAAAGAAATTTGCGGGAAATTATTTTTAATGTTCTAGAAAGATTTAGAATTTTTAATAAGAATTTGATTCTCGAATTAATAAAATTGATGAAAGACGAAGATAAGCTAAACTTAGACACAGACACAATCTAAAAGCAAAAGATAGCAAAATGCAAAATAAGATTGATACATAAAAGATTGAGTGAAGAATCTCTTATGTTATTTAAGAAAGAACTAGCAAAAAAAATATTGAAATAATAAAAGGATTAATGATAAAGAGTGATAATACATGAATGAAATATGAATATTCTTTGAAAATTTCTTTAAAGATAAAAAGAACTTTCTTTTTCTTTAATATATTTTCATATTATTCTACTTTATATCATTTGATTCAATTAGAAAACAGATATTCTGTAGAACTAGCACTATTTTAACATTTTGATGCTATAATATCAAAATAGTATTCGTAGGCTGTTTTATTGACATTAACTTTTTAGGAAGTTATAGTTAATGATTTCTCTAAATAACAACTCTTTAAAATGATTACTTTTAGGTGTGAATAAGCTAGATTACTTCAAGGTTGTAATAGTAATTTTCCAATTTTTTCAAATTATTTGTACAAGTCTTTTATAAAGAATCTAAATAAAGAAAAAGAGACTCTGATGTGAAAACTACTTTTCTTTTTGTGAGAAGTATTACTTAATTGTTAAATAATATGATGAATTATTTAATTAATTATTTTATATATTAAACCATTTTAATCAATCTTATTCCTCGGTTGAAATCAAAAAGCAATAGCCCTCATTTATCACCAATTTCCATCTAATCTATCACAATACTACTTGTATTCTCAACACATCATTTAAAAATATTATAGAAAAGACTGAATCATTTTTTTTATTTAGGTTTATTTATTTAAATTGGATAAATGTCTTGCTCTCAAAGATAAATAATAAAATAATGATAAATTCAATTTTTTTACCTAAATTATATATTTTATGGCATTTTTATTTGAAGAAGATCGTGGTTTAACATAAGTCAAGGATCCTTATCCTCATTTAGGACCAGGAGTCTACTAATAACCTGAAACTCAACCTAGAATAGCATACGCTCCTTTTCTTTCAACTGGAAAAAGACAAACAGAACTGACAAATAAATTAAAAATTCTAAATCCTGGACCAGGACAATATGAAGTATCTTAAAATATGGGGGATTCAGGTGTTTAGGCATACATGAATAAAAGCACAATCATAGTAAAAGTTCAAGGAAATGGAAGTAGCGCATTTAAAAGTGGAATTGAAAGATTTTAGGAAGATAAAAAAGTTAAGGAAGTAATGTATGGTGATAATTGTTATTTTAGATTCCTGGACCTGGTTATTATGAAACTTAATAAATCAATACACAATAAAAGCAACCGTTGTTTTTGAATTAAAAGATAGATGACATTAGAAGTTAAAACCTTAGAAGAAGAATTAATTCAATTCCAGAGCCAAAAACCTAGATAGGAATGATTTATGATGACATAGAAACTTTGGCATAGCATCAAAAAGTTATGAAAGAGTAAAAACAATAAAAAGTTGTAGGACCAACAACCTATGAAATTCAATAACAATAGCAATATCGAGGATTATCATGGGATAAGAGTACTAGACCAAGATTTGATTAAGAGCAAACAAATGAAATTGGTCCAGGAAAATATAATATTGTTGAGGAAAAAAAAAGAAGAAATGGATCTCCTGCCTTTCTTTCTGAATCTGTTAGATCTTATTATGATTAATTGATTTATAAGACTAATAGAGAGATTAATGCGGGATTAAGGAAACAAATCAATTTCAAAGACTAATATTCTCCAGGACCTGGACAATATAATGAAAATAGAGTAGCTATCAAAATACAATAAAAAGCAAAAGAGTTTTAGTTTTTTGGATCTTCTTTGGAGAGATTTAAATTGGTTTAGGATAGCAATGTCGGCCCTGGAGATTATAGGGTTTTAGATTCATCTTTTGATTAACAGATTCGAAAAAAGAATTATACTAATGCCACCTTTTTAAGTACATCCATAAAAGGTTAACCAATTTTATTGGAAGATCAATAACCTGGACCAGGTGCATATGAGATTCAAAGAGATTTATATACAGACTTAGTTAAGAAGTAAGATAGAGGACTTAATGGATATTTTGGAGGAAAAGAAAGGCGATTTTAAGAAAAAACCTCAATTTGTTAAGCAGGTCCTGGAAGCTATGATATTACTAGAGATGAAAAGAAAAGAGCTGTTAGTTCATGTTTTAAGTCATCATCTAAAAGAGATTAAGTTAACAAAAGTTTTGGACCAGAAATTGGTCAATATAGATTAGATTAAGATAGTATTGGAAATCGAATATAAAAATAAATGAAGTTTATCCAAAATTTATAAAAAATAGATGTGCTAAAACCTGGCTTTTATTGTGGAGAACCAAGATTTAAAGAGAACGCAGATATATAAGCTGTTCCAACCAGTTATAATTACCAAGCTCCTCCTGTAAGTTAAAAATAAATTACTGCCCCATTTAAGTCATAATAACCTAGACTTGCATATATTGGTAGATAATTTACTCCAGGAGTTGGAAAATATTAAGTTGAGGCTAACAATTGGAAAATAAACAGTTTTAATACACATTATAACAAGGTTTTACAAGAATCTTGATTTCTATTAACACTATATATCATCTTCATATAAATATTGTAAATATGGATATATTTCATTTTTTAGTCCTTTTGTAAATTAATAATTCTTTATCATTATAAGGTTATTTGAATGTAAGTATATCGTTTATAGAAATGGACGTTGCATTATCATTTTAAATTTAAACCCAATTATTGTTTTTGCATAAAGTTATCGAATATGTCGGTTATCCATCTAGGCCATCGCTGCAATGAACTATTGATATCAATGAATATTCAAAATCTTAAACATTTTAATTTAAACAACTTGATGGTAACTTAAATGATATTTTAATGTCAGCCTTTTGTAAAGATAACTCACAAACATTTAATATCAAGTATTATGGAAAAATCAAGAAATTAAAATCTCCAACATTATCATCAATTATATTTTCTTACCCCTCTAATTTAATCAATCCTTGCAAATAAGTAAAGAACTCAACTCCTGGCTATATAATTGCTTCAAAATATCGAATATGTTTTATACTATTAATTAATGGAACTTCATTTTATTGAACTAATAATAATTAAATTATTTTTACTTTCTAAATCCATAGGAAAAACTCTTTATAAAAAGAAAAATTAATCATATATAGGAGAATCCTATGTTTGAATGATTGATGCTATTTATGATTTTTATTCATCTTGTTTTATTATTGCTTTTGAGAGATGATCAATTATTTGAAATAAGAAATCATTGGCTCTATTATCATTTTATAATTCAATTCTTAATAATTCTTACAATGATATTGCTGTTTGAGGGGAAAATTACTCAGCTTCTTTTCGAATATATGTGATGAATTTGAGAATGATCGAACTTACTTTATCTGTAACAGTTAAAACAGTTGAAAATGGTGTTATTGCTTCTAATAAATGCATAACAGCATTAAAATGAGATTAAACTCCTTTGATTTCTGGCAGAATTCGAATTCCCAAAGGTTCTAATGTTTTTTGAATTAATTTTTGATTTTATTATTTAAGTTATTCAATTCTTTTTTATAAGTTTTTATTATCATCATTAGTTTTTTGCAATAAATTTGTTTATTATTTCAATTTAGTTTCCAATTATGCAATTTCATTTTCCATTTCATTTTATTTACCTAAATTTAATTTCTAATTCATATAATAATATTATTTACGTCATAAAGTTATGATATTTATTCTTCTAAAGATCTGTTTTCTGTTTATTATTTCTAGACTAATTCTTTATATTTTTCTAACTCCCTTGTATCTTAGATTAAAAAATCTTTGCCTTTTAATTATTCTTTTAAATTTTAAACATCTTGCATTAATTCTATATTCATGCTTTTTAATCTCATATTTTCTTCTTCTAGTTGCTTAACATCAAAAGGTTTATTTTGCATTTAATTTTTTTTAATATTTTGAATCGTTTCTTAATGTCGCTTTAAGTCCTCTTGACGCTTTTCTTCTAATCGTTAAACTTCCTTTTATAATTTTTTGATCGTTTAATTTTTATTTTTTAACTCCTCAGCAGCTCTTTAAAAATGTTAAGTATCTATTCTCTCTTTTTGTTGCTTTCTTTACATACAATCTAATTGCATTTTAAGCATGTTAACTTCATTTTTAAGATGTATATTTTCAGATTTTTAATCACTACTCTAATAATTTTCAATTTCATTATATTCAGAAATAATCTCTTTCAATTATTATTATGCCCATTGCAAGTTTTAAGGAGAAGTATTCTTCTTCTTTTTAAAATTAAACCAAAGTTCTTATAATCTATCAAAGTACAATTAAATATTAGGACTTTCTGAATCCCATGTTTCCATATTTTTGAAATGTGTTTTAAGTTCTAAAATTTAATAAAACCATTACCTGTTAAACAAGATTCAATTTATGGCTCAAATTAACTATGCGGATTTGAAAAGTAACTCTGCATTTTCATTAAACATTCATATATTTAATCCATTATATTATTATTCAAAAATAAAATAATCAAATACGTTTAAAAAATGCGTATAATTATTTATGAATAAAATATGAATAAATTTTTAAGTTAATTAATGAGTGCTTTATTATTCGAAATTCAATTATAAATAGGAAGGTGTATATAAATTATAAAAGATATTAATATATCATTAAAAATTCATCGTTATATGCTATTATTCTTTTTAATAAATAATTATGTTATTTACTTATATTATATTTAAAAGTAAATGAAGCTTAATAAGTTAACTAAATTAGAAAAAATGAGATATATAATCAGAAGACTCTTAAATTGTTAGATTATCAAGCTTAGAAGAATAGAAAGAATTTTAATTATTCCATAGAAATAAGAAAGATATTAAAAGGAGACAAGACTAGTCTTATTAATAATAATTTATATATTTCAATTTATTTAATTTTTGGTAAAATTTAATAAAACATAGAACAATCACTTTTCATAATTACAAAGGAGATGATATTATTATATGCTACCAATTATATAAGTATTATAAATACTATAGTATTAATAATCTTATTTTCCTCTAGTAGTATTTTCATTAACAGAATATAAATTATCAAAAGTAATCTTGAAATGGAATTAAAAATTTCAAAGTAATAGGTTTGTGACGGATTATTCTAATCAAGATACGAACAAAATTTGATAAGGAAATTCGTTTCCTATCTTATATTAATAAAAATAAATAAATGCTATAGAAATTCAAAGACGGATTAAGATAAATAGATATTTTCGGCTAATCTATTAATCTTAGTTTTCGATAAGAAGAACAATACAAAACAAGTATGGGAGGTTTTTTGTCAATCTGTATTATCGGAACAATTATAAGCTTTTTCTATTCGAACATAATAAATTTCTTCGCAAAATTGAATGTGACTTCTACTCAAGAATTTACATTTGCAGACGATCCTGATGCCCTAATTTTGAATAAGGACCACTTTATGTTTGCAGTTCAGATTGAACAAGATAATTTTACCACTAACCCTTTTTTTAATATCACTGTTGAGTAGCGTCACTATTATCGTTTTCCAAATGGAACTTAATATCGCCATCCAAATAAATATATTGATCTCGTACCTTGCACTCTTGAACATTTTTTACCTTTATTCGAATAGTACAGTGTGGATTTTAGAGAATAATTTGAACAACAAAATTTATAAAACTTCTTGTGTCCAAACCTAAATTTTATTCATAGTCTCAATTTAACTGTTGGAGGTGTATGGGCAAGCACAGACTACTACTTTTTAAAGTTTTCTGTCACTAATTGTAGAGATTCCTCATCTAGTAATTTTACTTGGAAGCCCACTTGTAAAACTTCAGATGAGATTTAATCAACATTAAATAGATAAGGAAGTTTTCGTTTCTAAGTTTATACAACAAATTTTGTAATTATAATCAATATATTAATAGTTATTAAATCCAAACAGACCTGAGAATTATGTATAACCTTATTTAGCTGTAGACTAATTCTATACTTTTGTTCCAGATAAAATGTTTGTTTAATCCGATATATTTTTCAGAACAAAGAAGGTTACAACCGATCAAGGAATTCTAATGTATCCAGATAAACAAAATGAAACTTTTGCCTTTCGAGATTATGGAGATTAAAGAGAATAATTTGAAATTTCTAGAATAACACCTAATTATTATGCGGCATTTTATTTTTAAAGAAGTCCATATTCTTATAGAATAAATAGAAAATTCTTAAGACTTGATGAATTACTAAGTTATTTAGGAGGATTTACTTAATTTATGATTGTTGTTGTGGGTATAATAGTAAGATTTTATAATCGTTAACATTTAATCATATCTATTGCTAATGACTTATACGAATTTGATATGAGTTAAGGTAGGCAGAATACTCAAATGCATTTAAAAAACTTATTAGATAGAACTTAGAGAGGCAGAGAAATGTTGAAGAGTAAGATGTCTAGAAAAATAGACACTATTCCTTAAATTCAAACAATTACAGCATTTTAAAATAAACCTGATATGGTATAAAAAAGAAAATTAAATGTTGATAAAAAACAATCAATTGAGTTTTTTTAACCAACTCAATAAGCATTGCAATCCAGATTATCTGCTATGAAAAATAAATCATTATAATATTTTGATGATTTCAAAGAATTTTTGAAAAAGAAACATGTTATTGGACTTGGTTTTAGAGTTATGTTAAGTTCCATAATTCCGATAGAATCCTTAAAAGATGACGATTGTATTGTTTTACAAAGAGCTATGTATAGAAATAATATATTATATAAGTGATTAAGTAAATAAAGAATTAGATATTGAATATATAATCAAATAACTTCATGAATTAACAAAACTAAAAAAGGTGTTGTTTACCTCTGAATAAATAACACTATTTAATTTTAGTCGCAAACCAAAAATATCCTTGATTTAAGATAAAAACAATAGAAGATCAACAAGGTTAGATTATAATTTTATTTAGATGTATCATTGATGGAGTGACAACAGCTGAAGATTATGGAGTAATGAAACAATTTACTGATCTTGTTAATTCATATGATAAAATTACTGGATCAGAATAAGAAAATACAACTTAAGAATAAATTAGATTTAATTAAAGATTAATTATTTTATTAGGCCCTGAATTAATGAAAGTATTAGAAAAAGAATTAAGTGCTTAATAATAAGAATAGATGGAATCTGATAATAATGATCCAAAAGATGATGAGAACTTGTTTAGCGATAGGGAAATTTAAGTACATAAATAGAATTGAAAAGAAATTCATATTATTATTATGAATTATATCATATTCAAAAATAATTCTTTCTCAAAGATCAATTTAGGTTTAAACTAATTATCGTTGTAACTAATAGACTTAAAATCTCTTTATTTCTTTCAAATTATAATTAATACAATAATTATTTTTAGCAAAATGTCAATTTTGAATAAGAGGATTTAATTTTATATTATTTCCTTTTTGTAAAAATTTTAATAATGTAAAAAATTCAATATTATTGATTTGAATATTTAAATATATTTTGAATTTGAG